TAGATTTACTTACTTACTTACTTACCTTACCTTACCTTACCTTACCTTACTTACTTACTTACTTACTTACTAGATTTATATGGCTTTGGTGTCTATTTTTTTGCAGATGACCCCGGACAAAAGAAGTCAAGGCCACTCAGGACACAATCCTACAGTCAAGAAACAGAACTCTTTGATGTGGAGTCTCACTCTGGCAAACAGTTGAGGCATTTGAAATACCTGGCTGTCTCTTTCATGTCACAGCTTCTGGCTTCACACAGTTTTGTAAAAAAAGTGAGTTGAATTTATCTTTGCCCAGAATTTATAAAGTCACATTACCAGTTAAGAATCTGTCATTTCCATGAACTGAGGCAAGTTGAAGAAACTTATTTTCTCTTCATTTCCGGCTTCAGTGTAATGCTGGTTGGCGTAATTATAAACATGCTTGAGATCAGGTGCAAAATAAAATAACATTACATGTTATTTTAATATTTTTTTAAAACAGGGGTTTTCTTTACTGTAGAAAGGAATGTTTCTACAGTAGAATGCTATTTTGCTATAAAGTCTGTACACAATATCATTGACTAGATATCTTGGCAAAAGAAACCAAGGGATGAAATAAGTTCAAACCACAGTGAATTTTTGTTTCTAGTCTTGGAAGAAGCCAGAGGCAAATATATACATATTGTGGCTGGCAGTTGAACATTCCATCCATGTACATGTTGTATATAACAGCCACAACAAAAGCAGATTTGTTTTTAGGTTTGATCATTTGTGCTTCGTGCACCTTATCAATAATTAGGATAAATATATTTAAACACATTTAAAAATGCATTCTGTGCTTAAGAGAGACCTTCAGAGACTTAGCCCTGCCTGTTTTGAATTACTGTCCCATCTGCTACAGCCTTTACCCTCCCCAAAAATTGGCATGCCCCTCCCACCTGCAATATTCCATCGGGACAGATTTGATTGGCCTTTGTATTGAAGTGGATTCTGATGCTAAGAATCGTAAGTGTTGTCAAAACAATTTTCAGGTGCAAATTTGAAAGCAAGCTACCTGTTGGAACGCTTGTGCTGACTTTTTTAAAATATACAGTATATATATTAATGAGAACTCATAAAAGCAAGTTCCTTGAGTGTTTTTTATCCAGCTCTGATTACTGTTGGAGAATTTGACATCTACTTTGAAATTCTATATGCAAAAGAGACTTTTCAAGGCTGTGTTTTCACTAGTTAGGAACTTAGGGAACCATCCATCAAACCATTAGCCAGTCCATGAAGGAAGATCCTGAAAACGAAATGGATGAAAATTTTAAAGAACTAAAGGCCATGTATAAATCAGTGTATAGCTACAGTAGAAGCAAGGATTGAAAAGGATGGAGAAATACAGTGAATAGAAATAGTTTAATTTGATCCAGTTAAATTTCTTTTTCTCTGGTTTCTTTGCTCAGTACTTATTGTGTCAGACTTTAATATTGGTTACATTAAAAGGGAACAGCTTGGTGAATATGTATATGTGCATAATAATAAAGAGGATGTCTTCTTCAGGATCCTGAACCGATTTTTTAATGTAAAATTGAATTCCATACAAAATAGCCATGAGGATTTTATCTGATTAATACTATAACAAAATGTTAGCGCACCTCATAGACATATTCATCCACCTGAATTTAATTCCCATTAACGTGACATGAACCGTGTAAATGGTTTTTCTTCCTTTGTCCACTAGGTAGTTGAATGTGAAGATTCTGAAGAGCTAAAGGAACTTGAACAAAAGTATGTTTGCTTTTTTTATATATATATTTTACTTAAGAATACAAGTAAGCTGCATAGGAAGATTTTGAGACAGCATTAGTTTGCATCCCTTACCAGATGAGAAATTAACTATATCAATATGTCTGTCTGTATATCTATCCTCTATCTGCCTGAAACTACAGCCTATTAAAGTATATGACAGTAATTCAACAGGAGGTGATAGGCCAAAGTCACACATGAGAAAACCTGAAACAGGGCAAGGACATTTTCAAAACAAATCAGGCTGATCTGTGAACATTATGTTACACTATTTTTTGCAAGGTTTCAAGTGATAGAAGTTGTAAAATTAATGTTGGGCCCATACTTTGCCTTTAATTATTTAGAGTAGCCACTAAAATCTGTGACCCGTCAAAACCACGGTCCACAAAAGCGCGATCGACGAAAGCGCGCATTTGACGTCATCACAGTGCGACGAAAAAAATTAAAAATTAAAATAAAAATTAAATTAAAGCAAGCCGATTCACATAAAGGTAAGGGTTAGGTTTAGGTTTAGAGCGTTA